CACATACATAATACAATAGGTGCCAGAAAGCAATAGGAAAAGAAGTGGTCATCACATCTTTTTCTAGTGTGCTTTTTGAAAAACACGTTTATGTGGGGTACCCAAGTGTGCTTTTCTTTCATAGTTTACAAACAAGTTAAAGAGAAACCTCAGCAGTTATTCATTGCTGGAGAATCTGGCTGACATCTTTGGAAAGTAATTTGAAGAGCTAGTGGGTTGGCACATGCTGTGCTGGAAACTTTGAGCTCCCTTTTGCATTCCATAATTTATATGTTGTCCCAGCATGAGGTTGTTTTCATGATTTTGCTTTTAAATTATGCATATTATAGTGAAATGTACTGATATAAATATAGAAATGACCTATAAAGATTTCTTCTTTTTCCCAAAATTTAACCTTTTAGGACCTCCTTATTTTATAAACCACACTTGTCATAAACACATGCCAGAGCTATACTGTCATATTAGATACACACGTTATAGTAGATACCGCAATAGGTTTTTATATAAGATATTGCATGTTAATACTTTGAGAAATAAGTGCATTTATTAAGAGCTTGACCAAAAGCACAATTAAGTGAAGATGAGAAGCATTAACTTGGGACTATTCTTATACAGAGAAAGTAAAAAGGGAAAATTGCCCAGTGAGTATATGGCTTAAGTTGTTTTCTAGTGAAGAACTAGTCTGAGATATCTGTGGTCTTGCCTTTTGTAAATGGCCCCCACATATTTCACAGGGTATCTTTAGTTTAATAATAGATCTCTAGCTGTGAAACAGAAAATTTTTCTATTAAACTTAAGACCAAACTTGTAAATTTGTTCATTAGTACACAAATACATAGTTATTTTGTACTTTGAATTTCTTCCACATGGCCACAGCAGCTGAAGAAGCCAGAGAACCTTCTGGCAGACAGTCTCATGCTGCTCTAGACAAACTCAAAATACTGAAAGCCAGTCTTAGAAACTGCCTAACCTAGTCTTCAAGAGCCATCACTGGAGCCCAGAAGAGAAAAATAAGCAAATCCTAAGACTATGTTGTACAAGTTTTTCCTGCTTTCATAGCCTTTTTCTTTCTGACCTCACAGTTACTCTTACAGCAGCAAGATTTCAATAGCCCTTACTCCCTAAGAAAGAGCCAGGAATGTTACTCATATTTTCTAGCAATCATTTATCATTTAGTTTACCCGTATTAGTTGCCCATATTTCCCATCAAAAATTATCTTATTATTTGGTTTATTAATTTATATATCTATACTTGGGAGACAAGTATAGTGTGTTCATTAAAAGCATGATTTCTGAAGTACCTAGATTCAAATCCCACCCTATCTGCTTAATAGTTTTGTGACTTACAGAAGTTTACATAACCTCTCTAAGCCTCAATTTCTTTATTCATAAAAGTTGTTGAAGGAAATTAGTGATATGGTATACATAAAGTGCTTAGCACTTAGCACTGTACTTCATGTGTTAGCCACTTAATAAATAGCAGTTACTTTTATCGTAACTGTATAGCTGGATTCCCCTATTTGGCATGGAAAACAGTCGTTTATCTCCCATTACATAACCAGATATTAGAGTAAAGTAATAGACTTGGCATATTTATTGGCAATTTTTTAAATTATAACCATCAGTCTAGCCAAAGGTGCAGTAAAATGAGCACACAAATATGCTCATGGAGATAAAAAATCTTATAATAAACTTTTTGGCAGAGCTATTATTACTTTTATAAACCCTCAAAACCATACAAAAAGATGAATATGTCAAGGTTTTTTCCACCTCAAAAGTATACAATCGGCCGGGCGTGGTG